TGAAGGTGGGTCGGGGGCCTTTGGAGTGGGCACTGGGTGCTCATGCCCCGGCCATGGGGCTGGCTGGCAGAGGGGTGGCGTGCGGGGGCTGCAGAGGTCCGTGGGCCTCAGCTTCCCCGTGCACCTCCCTCCCAGGTGCGGCACCGCCAGTCAGGACAGATCATGGTGCTGAAGATGAACAAGCTGACAAGCAACCGAGGCAACATGCTGCGAGAGGTGCAGCTAATGAACCGTCTCTCGCACCCCAACATCCTCAGGTAGGACCTATTCCCGGGCTTCCGTCATCCATGCCCCCAAGGCCTTGCTGCTGCCCCTTTTCTGGGGCAGGTGGGCTGAGGATGCCCCTTTCCTGAGACATGTCCTCAGCACTTGTCTAGGGGAGTCGGAGCTGCCGCTGGGGCTGGGCTATCCCATGGGGATGGTTGATGCAGTGCCCACCCTCAGGGCCCTCTCTGTCTCCCAGGTTCATGGGGGTCTGTGTGCACCAGGGACAGCTGCACGCGCTGACGGAGGTGAGAGCAGGACGGTGGCCGTGAGTCTGGGGCTTTCCCGCGGGCAGGGCCAGGCTGGCCTGCGAAGGGGCTGGGGATAGCAGTGGGGGCATTTTCTTCGCCTGTGGCACATGTGCAAGGCAAGGTCTGCTGGGGGGCTGTGCCGTGGGTAGCTGCCGGATGCTCTGTGCAGGGGGAGGAAGGCAGGTGATGAGAGATATGGGGATCCGGCTTTATTGGGAGGGATGCAGCAGCATGATGGCCTGGCTCTTCTCATCAGTACATCAACGGTGGGAACCTGGAGCAGCTGCTGGACAGCCCTGTGCCCCTCTCCTGGTCCATGCGTGTCAAACTGGCCCTCGACATTGCCCGTGGCCTGCGCTACCTACACTCCAAGGGCATCTTCCACCGCGACCTGACCTCCAAGGTATGGAGCATCCTGCCACCCTCGTTTCCCTGCTCCCATCTCGCAGGGCCGGCCTGCAGGAGCTCTGCCCCAGGCAGGTGCCCGCACACCAGGGAGCAAGGGGCCTGGGCAGCGCTGCTGGCAGGCACTGCCCAGGCTGTCACAGCTGGCTGCCCTGCCGGGGGGAGCAGTGTCTGGAGAGGCTGGGGTGGCTGTGAGACAGTGTGACGGGGCTCCTTCTCTGCCCCCAGAACTGCCTGGTGCGCTGCGAGGCTAACGGCTACACAGCCGTGGTGGGCGACTTCGGCTTGGCAGAGAAGATTCCCACCTACAGGTGTGTGGGGAGCATCCTCCTGTCCCATCCCTGTCCTTGGAGCAAGAGTCCTCCGACCTGCTTGAAGCAGGAGTGGGGTCTCCCAAGAGAGGGATGGACATTTGGGATGCAACTAGAAAGGGAGGGATGGGGGGAGGTACGGAAAATCCCCAGAGGCAGGGACACACCGAGTGGATGGACATGTGTGGGGGCTGGCTAGGAGGGGAAGGAGAAAGGAATGGAATGGGTGGTCCCACTGGTAGGGAGACATGGGTTTGTGGGGTGCATGGGGTGTATGGAGGAGAAGGGTGGCCCCACTGGTAGGGAGACATGGGTTTGTGGGGTGGATGGGGTGCATGGAAGAGAAGGGTTAGCCCAGGAAGAGAGAGGGAGATGGGGATTTGGGCTGTCCCAGATGGAGGACGGGACATGGGACAGAGGCTGGGGGCTTTGGGTGGCCCATAACATCACTGCTGTGTCCTGCAGCGAGGGCAGCGAGAAGGAGCCACTGGCTGTCGTGGGATCCCCGTACTGGATGGCACCTGAGGTGCTGCGAGGGGAGATCTACAATGAGAAGGTGATGCCCTGGGGCTGCCATGCGATCGAGGCTTGTGCTGCGGCAGGCGGTTTCCTGGGCAGGTTCCTGGTGGACCTGGAGGTGCCCATAGGCTGGGAAAGCTGGACATGTGAAGGGCGCAAGATGCGCAGAGGCAATTGGTGTCTCTGCTCTCTGCAGCCGCCAGCTTGGGGGTGCTGGATAACAGGGACCGCCCATGCTGATCCCTGGGGCGGAGGGGAGCTGTGGGTTTAGCAGGAGGGTGGCACCATCCTCTCAGGGCTGCAAGACCTGCGCCATGACTCTCTGCTCTCTGCAGGCCGATGTGTTCGCTTACGGCATCATCCTGTGCGAGACCATCGCTCGTGTCCCCGCTGACCCCGACTACCTGCCCCGCACTGAGGTGACTCCTTGGGATGGGGTGGGAAGGCGGTGTGCAGTGGCACTGGGGCTGATTCACTGAACAAGGGGGACCAGCACCCTGTGCTGAGCAGAGACCTGTTGCCCTGCCTCTCGGGGCAAGGGTGCCAAGTCCATGACGTCTGCTGGCAGCAAGTACCTGGGGAGAGGTGCTGTCTGCTAATAGCCTGCGGGATGCACACTCAGAGCCCAAAGTTGTCTGAGGTGGGTTCGGGGGATACTTGCATTCAGGCAGAGAGCGAGGAGGGATCTATGTCCTGCCATCCTCCCACTTGGGATGACCCCAGGCTCCCCTCTTGTTCTGGGGTGCGGGGACCTCGTGCCAGGGTGCTGCCGAGTCCCTGCTGCCCGTGGTGGCAGCCCATGCAGCGTGGGGCAGGCCAGGCTGTGCCAGGTCCCCCAGGGCAGTGCGGTGCCCCCGTTGGACCTGGCCTCACCGTTCCTCCTTTCCCCGGCACAGGACTTCGGCCTGGACGTCACCACTTTCCGCAACATGGTGGGAATCGACTGCCCGGCGGCCTTCCTCCAGCTCGCTTTCCACTGCTGCAGTGTGAGCCTCCGCCGGGGGCCAGCCCCGGGCCGCACGAGGCTGGCGCGGGGTCCATGCTGCCCCTTCCCCG